TCCTCTGTGCCATCTCCTTGGCGGTCTCACCTCATTGTGCCTGTTCTTTGATCCAGTGAGATGTCTAGTCTCTTTATCCCTTTGCTTTTTTCCTGATGGATCAGCCCTTTTGCTTTTACTCCCTTCCAAGTCCAGCCTAGACCCGGGGGTCCATCTCTCCAACTGCCTTGGTGCCCATGCCCCAAGTCCTTTTCCTCTTGTCTTCTCCATCCCCCCATGGGGTGGTCTTGGGTGAGTGGCCCAGCTCCATGCTGTCTGTGGCTGATGGACACAAAACCCCTCATCCGGTGCTCAGCGTGCCCACCAGGCCCCCTGTGTGGCCCTGGGCATCTCCTTTTCGCTTTGCCCAGAACAGCCGGGTCTGGGCTTCATCGCTCCTCCCTGCTGCCTCCTCCCTCTTAGCATCTGGGTCACTTTTTACTTTACGGAGAAAGATTGGAAGCATCAGACATCATCTTTCTCCACTGCTGCCTCTCCAGTCATCTTGTTTCCCTCTTCATAGTGGGAGGGATGTTCATCCGTGAGAGAGCTCCAGGCTGTGAGTACAGGGAAACCCAATTCAATGTGGTGGTGTTTTTCCTTTTTTTTAATAGTGGAAAAAAAAATTCTAACAGCAGTACTGGGGATTGAACCCAGGACCCCATGTATGCTAGGCACACACTCTACCACCGAGCTATACCCACCCCCACCTCAATTTAACGTTGTTTTTATCCTGAAAGTCCAAATGGAGGAGTCCAGTGGCTCAGCGATCTCATTAAGGATCCAGGATTTTTTTATCTCTCTTGCTCCCATCCAAGCGTTGGCTTCCTCCTCAAGGCTGTGTCCCTTATGTGGACAAGCTGCCAGAAGCTGTTGGGGCTACATGCCCCCTCACTCGCTCTGAGCAGGAGAGAGAGGTGGCTTCCCGCAGCTCCCTCAGAGGAATGGGAACCTCTTTTTCTGAAGCCCCACCTAATGCCTCCTTCGATCTTATCAGCCAGAACCTGGCCACATGCTCATTCCTCGACCACTTACTTTGTGTCCAAGGAGTCAGGATTTTGCCACCTGGAATGAGGCCCACCTGGAGCATCTTCCTGGGGGCTGGATATAGGAAGAAGGAAGGGGAGTGCCCATCGGGAAAGGGCCCATTGCATCCGGTCCCAGACATTTCCGGTGAAAGTGTACTGACTGGGAAAAAAAAAGGAAGCACAACCTAAAAGTTGAGAATCATGTTTTATTTGGCAGACTTCCTGAAGACTTAAGCCTGAGTTAAGCCTCTTGGATCATTCTGAGGGATTGTTCCCAAGAGGTAAGGGAGGAGCCAGGATATATAAGAATTTTTGCAAAACAAAACAACAAAACAGGTAGTTGGAACATCAAAAGATGACTGACTGCTAATTAAAACGGAACATCTCAAGTTAATGAATTTAATGCTTTTCTATGTATGGGAAGGTGCAAGAGTCTGGGCTCACTGAAATTACTCCTTTGTTACGCACCTTAACTGTCTGAGGCCAGTATCCTGTTTTTCTCCATCCTGAATCCCCTCGGGGTGCACCCTCGGGGAAGCTACAGTGGCTGATGGCTTGGGGGCCTCAAGGTCCTTTGTTTCCTGAAACGGCAGGTGACATTGTGTGTCCACGCTCTTCATTGCAGACTCTGCTGCCTGTTCAGACCTCGCACTGCCTCCCTCATTATCTCCTTTTCCAGCTGCACTGTCCACCTCATTTCTGCCGGCTCTTTCCCTAAACATTTCCAGATGCTTGAGTTTTTAGTTTCTTCGAAACAAAAACACAGGACGTCTTGTCAAGCTACTGTAATCCTATTTTTTTCATCCCCTTCAGAGATCTCTGCGGTAAATTCTCCATCGTCTTCTCTCTCCGAGTCATTCTGTTGCCTGTGGATGCAGCTGGTGTTCTAGGTTCTGGTCCCGTCCCAGAAAGAATTCAGAGACAAGACGTAGTGGTTAAAAAAAGTAAAGTGAGGGTTTATTAAAGGATGGATAGGACACTCAAGGGGAGAGCAGGCAGGCTCAGGTGAGCGGCTGCCCTGAGTTTCTTTAGCAAGTTAGTTCCATAGTGTGTAAAAATGAATGGGCAGAATATTCATTGGGGAGGGGGAGGGTTTGGGGTCGTATTCTCTGATTATCACCCCAACTCCACCTTCCTGAAGGGAGGAGGGATTTTTGTCCTTATTTGCTCTAGATCAGAAGTGTCATGATGTTGGTGCATGATGGGTACTTCTGATCTGCAAGGCTAATTTTGTTGAAATGAGGGCATAATGAGCAAAAGGTTACATTCGGACACTGGAGATGCCTGTCTTTTCTCACCTTTCTTTGTCGGGGTCTCCAGGCCACTCATCACCCCAAAAGGTGTGACCTCTTATCAGCCCAAAGGTTCCTGCTTTCCTTTCTCTGCCCGGGGACCCCTGGTGCTTCCATGATGTGTGGTTTCCTGCATTTGGCCTGTGCCCCTCCTTTCTGCCCAGTTCCTGCCATTTGGTCTGTGTCCCCCTTTCTCTGCTCATATCTAGCTGTCTGCCTGCGCTAACAATTCTCCACCCGCTGCAATCTGCCTTCTCCCACCATTGTACTGAAATCCATCTTTAATAGTAGTTTTTAAAAAACCTTATTTTTGTAATAATGTAACTACACAGGCCTGGTACAGAACTCAGAAACTGTAAAATATTAAACCGTCAAAAGTGAGCCTCTCCCACCCTGGGGCTGACCTCTGTTAACCACCTTCTGGTGCCCCAACCCCTTATCTGCAGGTCTTGTGACTCACTCCTCACTCGGATTCTCCTGGTCTTGGGAGTTCCTGAGAAAGAGGAGGAATTTTGCATTAATACTCAGCTTTTACAAGCCTGGCCCTGTAACAGTTCTAACAATCATCAACTACCCTTTCTGTCCTCCAATCTCGACCTTTCCTTCCTTGGTGACTTTTAACTCCCTCAGCTTTTTAAAAACATTCCCAGACCTTGGGGCTGCCTCTCACTACTGCCCCCTCTCTTCTGCCTTAAACCCCCCGTGACCACCTCGTGTGACCCCTCTCACTCCGCTCTCCTGTCTCAGCCCAGTGCAGCCTGCCGTGGTCCTCACTGCTCCGCCAGAGCTTCCCGGCTGAAGGTCACCAGTGGCCTCTGTTTGTCAAATCCAGTGCAGACTTTTTCCGTGAAGCTTGTGACATGTTGACCACGGTCTTGAAATGTCCCCGTGACACCTCCAGGTTCCTGCCTGTCTCTCTGGTGACTTCCTCTGAGACTCTTCCTTAGGTTTCTCCCTGCTCCTTAAAAGTTTGTGTTTCCCAGGGTACTTCTCGCCTGGGAAGTGCCCGCTGTCATGGGGACCTCCTCTGACCCCACAGCATTGACCTTTCAGTCGTATGTTTAAGAAGATCCCAGTGGATCTGCTCAAGAAGGTCTTTTTCATCAACTCCAGATCCACACACCCAGAAGCCTGGATTGTCCATCTCCAGTAAGAGGTTCCACAGTGCCTTATAACCCAGGCTCCCAACCCTCCTCCCGGGGCTCCTCAGGGAACAACACTCTGCCATCTGTTCCCCTGGCCTGGAAACCTAATGTACCCTCACGCCTTCCCCACCCTCCGCACTGTAAACCCTGTTCTCGGCTTGATTTAATCCATCACCAGAGGGATGTAACAACACACTGGCTGAGACCTTAGACTTGGCCTTCTGGCTGTAATGATAAAAGATACTGACAGGGGACTTGTAGTCACGGGACTCAGCGGTAAGTAAGAATTCACGGATCTCTCAAATCCATTTCTGACTTTACGTTCTGCCTTCCCCCTCACTTCCTCACTTTCCCACACTGTGCATTACTGTCCTAGCTTATTCCCTCCTGCTGCCATTCACTCTCCTTTTTAGGGGCAGAGGAGGAGACCTCAGGCCCGGGGGGGAATGCTCAGCCCCAGTTCATGACACACCGTCTCCACTGCTCTGGGCAAGGCCCCTCTCTGTATTTCTCTTCTCTTTCCTTTTTGTCTTCGTCCCCACTCTCATCCTCCCAAAGACG